GAGGAGAGGAGAGGAGAGGAGAGGAGAGGAGAGGAGAGGCTAAATTTGGAACTTGAGTCTGAGGAAGCTGGAAAATCTTTGTGTTAAAATTGCTCATCTCATCTCAAACTTCCTCTCTCAATGACATTTCAGCAGTTGACTCCAAGTGTCAGAGCCCATATGATGTGCTGCTCCTCACTGAGGGACTTTTGGCATAAAGGATTTGACATGTAGCAAAAACTTCCAGTAGTAGCCCCTGTATTCTGCCACCATACAAACGCTACTCATAGGCAGAGCTGCTACAGCTCTCAGAAACTGGTGGCTTACTACTCTATTGTATTATAAATCACTTTGAAATCTTTTCCTAAAGATTTCCAGCTTCTCATGTTTCAGCTACTGGTCTTTGAATTATGACAGAAAGAAGGTCCTGGTTACTAGGTGCCTTTCTTGGACTAGACACATAATTTCCATATATATGTGTGCGTGATCTTTCTGACCATATATATATATATACCATACACACCCAAATATATGTAGCAGTTCTTTTCAAAGCTACTTAATAATACACCAATTATGTAAATTTTTTTAATCAGGTGCATTTATGGTGATAATAACAGCACATAATCCGTCCTTGAGACAACTTAATGGATTGGACAGAAAAAAAAAATCTGTCTGATCTCTTTCATCTTAAAGATTTTAATGTCTTTTGTTATCCCATTGCATTTTGTGCATTTAGAAAATGTCTATCCAAAACAGCACAGTCAACTTTGCACATTTTTAAAAGAATATCTCTGTTAAAATACCATCAGAACACAATCTGGTTTTGTTATGCCTGTTGACAATCAACAATGCTTTTTTTATTGCTTGAACTATGCTTATCAGCTGAACCACAAGTGGGGAGCACAACAAATGCTTCAGAACAATTCCATCAGATACAGAAACTTTAGATTGTTACTGTCCAACCAGCTCTTTATGAAAACTGCAGGTCACAGAAGATTAAAATTCTGCCTTGAGTGGGTTCATTTTTTAATAAAAAGGAAAAAAGGGGCAGGGAGCCTTGGGAGGCTCAGAAGAACAGATTAGCTGTCTACAGCAACACTAGTTAAGTATCATTAACTCCACTGGAGCTATTCATAGTTAAATCTGAAAAATGCCCAAGTTGACATTCTTTCCTCCCATGCTGTCAGGGGGGGAGGTCAGAGACAAGATTTTCCACTTCATCTCCCAGTTTCCTTTTATGTACAGGTTCTCAGCAAACTGCTCATGTTGCCACAACAGAGACCTTGAACCTTCAAAGCTATCTACAGAGACAGACCCTTATCCCTGATCAGTATGGATCAGCAGAGAGGCACAGACTATCCACACATATCTGTTTGCAGGAGTGGAACTTATATTTTCAGTGACTGAATTTACTTTTCTAAAAGGGCAGAATGTCACTGCCAATTGGTGTCTGCAAAGTGAGCTAAAAATATCTGATTTTCATAGAACAATAAGAATGGGGAGATGCTGTTATTGGAGACCCAGTCATCACTGTGACAGAGAAAAGTCAGCTGTGCACCCATCCCTGAATCCTTTTCTGTGCCAGGAAGAAAGATCCACCTAAAGCCAGAGGAGGTGATTTTTCTCCAGGAGAGAGAGTTCTGCCTTAGGTCCAGTCTGAATGAATATCAACATGCGTAACCTAAAGGAGAAAATGCTGCATTAGTTTATTTTTCACATAATGTTATGCAGTGATGAGGGACAAGAATATTTTGCAACTCAGTGCATGAGAAAAGAGCAGCAAATAGAAATTTGCTTGAAAATGTGTAATTCATGATAAGAATAGTTCATCCTGCAGGCACTGAAAAAGAGGAGTGGAAAATCATAAAGACATGACCCTGATGAAAACTCACCCTGATGGGAGGTGGAAGTTAGACACAGATAAGATGCTTAAAATAATTCTTAAGACAAAAGAGTTGAAATGTTTGGTTGAAATGCTTTTATCGATTCTTTCCTCAAATATCTTTGGAGGACCTTAGTCCATCACTGGCCAGAGAATCTACCTCAAACAGAGATGGCTGAAGACCCAAAGGCAAAATTATATTTTCAATTCAGTGCTGCCTCCAAGCTCCATCTTACTGTTCAGCTATTTTTTTATATTATAAATATTATTTCTTTAAGGGTAACATATTTTCTTCCTATTGCTCATGTGCTTTTTCCATGTGACACCTCACTCCTGTAAGACAACACATACTGATGCATAATGGCTTTTTTAGTACATCAGTGTCATTTTTAGAAATTAGTAATTGAGGAGTCCATGATGTTCACTTGATGCTTTTTTTTTCTCTGAAGTCATTTAGTTACAAGTGTACTCCTCCACTTTGCATTCCAGGAAGACATAAGCTTGTTGTGTCTTCTATCGCAAAGGTGCTGATAGAAGGACTGCTTCCCTCAGAGGAGCTGCTTGTGTTAAATATGTATAGGCTGACTAAAGAACATCCATAGGGAATATTAAAGCGTTTTAATAACTGGAGTGTAAGGACAAAGAAGACGAAACAATGTAGGTG